CACGGTGGATGCTGAAGCCCAGACATCACTTTATCAATGGGATATTTTCATTCCCTATGTGTCTTACAGTTTATAAAACTGAAATTATTTCAAGCATTTTCTCCCACTTGGTTTGTAATGAAAGGTTAGAGTCACAATATGCTCTCCATTCATCAGAATGCTTCCTAGTGTTTTTGTAAGCTTGTAATGAAAAAAGTTTGTTTTGAGCTGTGTTTCTAAGAGAGAGTGGGCGGGAAGTAGTTTCTATATTTAAGAATTATTCTGAATATGGCCTGAATCAATAATGAAAATGCAATGGCAAATGAGCTCATTCAAGAATAGTATGCAGTACATCATGATCATTGGCTGCTATGATATAACATCTATGTTAATCTATGTTAATGATAACTTACATTAGCATAAGTGCTTGGGAGTTTTTCCAGATGGCTAAAAAGACTGCCTATGATTCACCTTTATGTCTCCATAGTACACTGAATGCAGTAGGTGCTAACTACGTATATGTCAAACAGATGATTTCAAAGTATATTTTCATATCCATTTTAATCCTTACCACATGAGCATACTGAGGTATAAGAATGTCAGGCTCTTTTTCACCACCAGCACTGCAGAAGCATGGCTAAATATTAACATTTAAATACATGAATTATTTAAATGTTAGAAGTCAGACTAAGACCAAATCCTGGCTCTGCCACTGTATTAGTTTGCTACAGCTGATATAGAAAAGCATCACCAACTAGGCAGTTTAAATAACAGAAATTTATTTTCTCAGAATTATGGAGGCTAGTAGTCCAAGATGAAGGTTTTAGGAGGGTTGGTTTGTGGTGACAGCTCTTTTCCACCTTGCAGAGGGCCACCTTCCCCATGTCCTCACATGCTCTTTCCTCAAGGCATCCGCATGTCTGTGTCTTAATCTTTTCTTATAAGGACATCAGTCACACTGGTTTAGAGCCAACCCATCTGCCCTTCATCTACCTAAATTAGCTCTGAAGTGCCCTGTCTCCAAACAGAGTCACATTCCGAGGCACTGGAGATTAGAGAAAGAGGACAAAATTCAGCTCATGACAGAGACTTGCCGATAGGACAATATTAACTCAGTGTGTTTCCTCCTGTTTGCCCAAGGGATTTGTACCACTTTCTTGATTTATATAATCTGGATCTTAATCCTTGATCTCTACATATTTTCCTCAAGTACTGATTTAATTATGGTGATTTTTTTTTATTCCTACAGAAGGTTTTCATTTTCATGTACTCAAAATAATCAATATTTCATTTTATAACTCATGTTTTGAGGCTTATTTAAGAAAAGATTTCCTTTTTCAAGGCTATAAACATAACTTCATATTTTCTTCTAATATAATCAAAATTTTATGCTCACATCTTTAATTCATTTGTCTGATGTTTGGTGAATGATTTCAAGTAGGACAAAAACTATTGTTTTTTTTTTTTTCCAAATGAACTGTCCCCCAAACATTTCCGGAACCAAGTAATTTTCCCTCTACTAGTGTTTTCCATAGATGTGTCCTCACTGTCTCATCTGCAGGTCTGTCCTTGTCATACTTCAGTCCATGTTCCATCCCCAGCAAACCACGGGGACCGATCATGACAAGGGCACCAATGACTCCCAATGTTGCCAAAGGCAGTGGTCACTTCTCTGTCCTCATCCCATTCAACCTTTCGGCATGTTGCACGCAAGTCACAGCTCTCCGTTGGAGTGCTTTCTTTCCTTGGCTTCCATAACCTCACACTGTCTTGGGTTTTGTCCCAATGATACTGGCTACCTTTTTTAGTTACTATTATTGGCTCTAATTCTTTGTCCTCATTTTATTGTTTTTGCACACACCATTTTTGAAATATATATTATAGTTGTAAAGGATCTGGAGGAACAAGGGGCCGTACAAAATCTCCAAGGCTGAGTTTCTCAAAAAAATCTCAAGCTACTTTGAAAGCTAATTGAGTGGTTAATCAAATGATATCCTATAAAGGAAACTATCCAGACTAAAATGGTGAAGCAATGAGCTCCATTTTAAACTTTAGACTGCTCTGGGACTCACTTCACAGTGCCTCTGTTTCTCTATTCACACCTTCTTTAGACCATGTCATCTGGTTTCATGTCCTTAAATAATATTGATATGCCCCTGAGAGCCTAATCTCCTTGTCCATCCCTGACTCTTCCCCAGAACTCTAGATCCCTTTGTTTTTCTTCTTGCTTAATATCGCCACAATGATATCTCATAAAGATCTTAAACTCAACATGTCTGAATCAAAACTCTCGACTCCCCTTCCCTGAAAGCTTCTCTCATCAACCTTGTTTATCCAACCAAAAATCTAATCTGTCCTCTTGATTCCCTTCCTTAGTGTCTGAAATCCTAGTATACCATCCAATTCTTTCAACTCTACCTCATCAATAGGACATCTGGTCTCTTTACCCCAGGAAGGTCCTTCCTAGTCCAAACTACCATCATCTCTCCAGGAGACTTCTGCACTACTCTCCCAACATGATGCCTCAAGACCCATTCTTCACAGTAATTCTTGTCTAGCCTTTACCAGATCATCGTGCTTCCATGGCGAAATGCTTTAGCTGGCTCACACTGCACTTAGAATAACACTGAGACCCATTAGCCAAGCCTACAAAGCCAACTTGGTCTGTACTTTACATTCTCATGATTTTTTATTTTATAACTGGAAGTGTGTACAATTGACTCCCTCCAGTCATGAGGAAGTTGTACTAATCCTGCACTAATTCCACTGGCATACCTTCCTTTAGCTCTGAGCAGGACTCAAGCCTAAAATCACAACTGTCTCAGATTAAATATTACTTCTGGAAAGATGCCTCTCCTATCTAATAAAACTTCATCTACCCTGTATGAGTCCCTTGCTCTAATCCTCTGCAGAATACTAGCGATGTTGTTTACTTTTTCATTGGTCTTTTACCTGTAATTTCTTACTAGGATGCAAGTTCTCTAAGAGCTACAATGCACCCTCATCCTCTTATAAAGTATGTGGCATATAATAAGTGTTCAATCAATATTTGGGTTCAGTTTTTAAAACTTCAGTCAATTCCATGGATATATTTGTCTACTTTTGCACACTGTTTTTATACATTGCTTTACTATAGCTTTAGCAGATATTTTAACATCTAGTAGAGTAAGAACTACCCCATCACACACACTGTCTTTTTCAAAACTGTTTTTTCTATGGTTCTTAAATGTCTATTTTACATAAATTTTAGACTCAGCTTATTATGTGGCATGCAAAATCCTTTTGGAATTTTTACTGGTATTGCTCTGAATTTATAAAGATGGGTTTGAGAAAAATCAATACCTATTTCATATTGAGGCTTTCAATTAAAAACATGGTATATTTCTCCACTTATTTTAAACATTATTTTCATGTCCTTTTAGTTTCCTTTTCATTAATTTTGAAGTTCTTCATGGGTAATTTGTAGGTTTTTAAAAAAACTGTTGGGAATGTATGTTGGGAAACAGTGTATAAGACAATTATTTTATCCATATCTTACTGAGGCCTTTTATTTGATCAAATAATTTATAGGGTTTGGGGGGTTTTTTTGGACATATGGTCAAATTATTTTCATAGGAAGCTTCTTCAACTTTTGTAGATACCATATTGCACTGGTTGAGAATCTCCAGAAAAGTGCTCACAAGCAATATTAATGTTGGATTCCTGTTTTGCTCCATGTTTTCATGGAACCACCATAAACTGATATCTGCTCTAGATTTTGGACAAAAACTCTTTATCATATATACAGGTTCCTATGTAGAGTTTCTAAAATTTAAAAAACACCTTTTTAAACACTGTTTTTAAGAAATTGATTTTATAATAACGAAAACATGAAAACTGCTGAGAGGTTAAGGGCAATCTTTACAGAGTTTAAATAAGAATAATTCCTAACTGTTCAGCTTTTTTTATGAGGCAGAGAGAGCATTCATACTTCTGATACTTTATTCCTAACCATCACAGTACTTCCACAAGACAGAATATTTTTCACAATTTTAGAAATGAGGAAATCTTGACTCAGAGATTCAAGCAATTTATCATAGGTCACAAATCTAATAAGCAATTATGCAAGGATTTATGCCCAACTATATCTAGCTCCAGAGCCCACACTCCTCCCACTGTATTCCATATTTAATATGAGATATTAGACCAAGCCTTTCAACATGCCCTAGCAGAAAAGATAATAAGTGTGTACTGGGTTTATGGGTTAATTAATAACCACACCCCCTAAATGTCTATCTCAATGTCAATTGAGAAGAAGATTTCAAAGTAAAAAGTCATAAAGATTTACTACAGAGACCTAACTGTCACTAACAGCAGTATTTTTTGAATGAATAGTTTATATCAAGGCAAAGAGGGCAAAAAGACATGACCAAATTAAGTAGGTTTGTTAAAACAATGAGGTAGAGATCAGAGATTCAAAAGTATCTAAAGAGCTAAAATGTTGGATCAAAGCAAGAAATTTCCAAATGTTAGAGGTGAGGTTTGACATTTAGGTTCAAAAAAATCAAATGCACATAATAAATAAGATGAGAATAACCACAACCCTTGTGAAAAAGATCTATTGGTTTAAACCAAAAGCAAATTGTGTACAATGTGATTCCCAAGTATATTCAATTCAATTTCAATATGCATGGATATCAATGTGATTGAACCCAGCAAGAGATTAATAGTACCACTCTCTATATCTGGAAATGCATATTTAGTTATAGAAATTATATTTAATTTGGTCATAGCCTAGTAAGGATACAAGTTACTACCAGATTTTTTTTTTTTTTCATCAAGTCCAGGATGAAGAAAAAGTCACATGCAATAAGGAATTCCAACACTCTCCATGATTGGGTTAGATAATTATTCGGGAATAGGAAGTCCGTAAAACAATACATTTCTTGTGGGCTCAACCTCATCAGAACAGAAACAGCCTCCAATTTAAAAAAAAATCACCATCACATCTTTGTGTAATCTGTGTTCCTATCTGTACTTACTGCTACTCCTGTCTTATAGAGAAGGTAATGCACAGTCTGTGTGACGTCAGCAGCATGCATCAAATTGTGGTAAGGATTTTTGTGCTTGCTGTATCCCACTTCCAGGGCCTCCACAAATGAGACAAGTGCAGAAATGGGGATCTGAAAGAGAGTGGCAAGGTTAATTGGCTAGTGATTTAGTAGCTTTGAGAGACCAAAAAAGTCTAAGGTATTCTAACTAACTCTTTCTGAAAGCATTAAGAGAGCACACAAGGATACAAGAACTTTTCAAAGTTAATAAAAATCACTGAACAAAGTATTGGATAATTTGAAAATCGAACAGGAAGCCCCTGGTCTGCCCTGCATATTGTTCTTTGTTCTCCAGTTCAGGGGCCCAGGGTAATGACAGGATCATCTCAAGGACATGGAGGGCAAAAAGGCAGGTGTTCACTCAAATCTCAGGCAAAGGTTCAAGTCTTTGTTAAGAAATAAATGAACAAATACTATGCAGCATCTCATTTACTTGTGGGAAAACAAAAAGTACACAAACATTTAAGTTATAAAATGATTGCAAAACAAACTCAAGCCTTCTGAAAACTGCACCCTATAGAAGAACGATGGGCACACAAGACAGTTGAGAAAAAAACAAACTACAAATGATAGTCTGTTCTATAATAGAAATGAGCTGTGTTCTTGTGTTTATTACTTGGCAACTTATTATTATGCTGTCACTCAGTTGCATCCGACTATTTGCAACCCCATGGACTATAGTTCATCAGGCTCCTCTGTCCATGGAATTCTCCAAGCAAGAATACTGGAGTGGATTGCCATTTCCTACTCCAGGGGATCTTTCCAACCCAAGGATTGAACCCATGTCTCCAGCATCTCCTGCACTGGCAGGCAGATTCTTTACAGTTGTGCTGCTTGGGAAGCCCAACTTATTGGTGCCTTGCAATCTGGAAAAATATTTCCAGTTATCCTAGCTTCTTTCTGTCTCAAATATGGGTAATATACATATCTTCTTTTTCTATTTGGCAGAAAGTGAACAACTGCAAAATGCCTGTACAAAATAAGGGGCCTTGGAAAACATTCATTGCATTCGTTTTACGGATCAATCCCTTGGTTTAGTGTAGATTATCAGTTATAAGACTGGGGGAAAAGGAGAAAGTATGTGTTCCAGGAGACTAGAAATTATATTCATAAGAAAAAATAAGTGCTTCATGAGAATCCATACTATGTTCTTCCTTGGGAACATTGCTCCATATTTACTATCTGTGGATTTAAAAAATTTAAATATAGCCTTTCACATGTCAGAGATTAATTCATTATCATTTTAAAAGTGAAGATCCAATGAACTTAGATTCTTTGAGCTGTTCATTGGGGAGCTATGAGCCACTGAAATTCTAGATAAAGGTGTGTGCATGTGTACTGCAGCTTCTTTTGAGGTCTTGAGCATCCACTGGATCTTCAAACAGGCTTCTTTTGAATTTATTTTAACAAATAACAGAAATAAACAAAATGTCCCAAAACAGATAAAATTTTCAAAAAATAATATCTTTGTCAAGTCTCCAAGACTCTGAAATTACTATTCTATTCATTCTATCTATAGATAGATAGATTTTATCTATCTATCAATACTAATCTATTCATTCAGATTTGTTTTTATTCTTTTCCAATCAATAATCTTTCATTTTTAAAAACATAAGCCTTAAAGGCCTGCAATTATGCGTCAGTTTGATGATGGGCATGTCCAATGAGACCAGTTCATGTCCCATTCTCCATTGGCTCAGTCAGTGAAAGATCTGCCTCTTGATCATATTAAATGAACCATAGTAAAAGATCAAGAGAAATACGACTCTCCCCCACCATCCTCTTCCTCAAGCTATCTGAATACTGTTTTTTTTTTTTTTCATCTTCCAGCATGTATGCCTGACAAAATGAAACCCAAGACATTAAGCTGACAGGATGAAAAGCTCATTTCAGGACAGGGGCCAATAAAATGGGATTGGTCCTGACTCCTAACCCATCATTGCCCTCCTCCTCTTTGATCATGACCAACAGCTCCTAAACAAGAAGAGAATGAAATGAGTTTCGGGTGGACAGAGAGGAAAGTTGAAAAAGTGGCCATTTACTCTTTCTCCTTAATATAAGGGACTTTAAAAGCAAATCCGGGATTACTGGTGGGCATGAGTGGAGCATGAGAGCTCTATACGCCCCTCTAGCAGGTTGTCAATCCAGTTCTTGCCAAGCTGCCTGGTGTCCATCTGGGGGTTGTAATACAGCCAGTCCTCCTGCTCAGCACCTCTGCTGGTGCCCTAGAATTCTTCTGAAATCCTGAAACCTGCCCATGATGTAACTAAGTCTTGCTTCAAAATGTTCCTTACACAGAGATAAGTGTGAATGATGCCAGTTCTTGGGAACTGGAGTTAGGTGGGGACCATATAACTTTGGGTAGACCTGATTTTAACCAGGTATTTTGTCATACACCACTGGAGATTTTGTTGTAAGAAAGCATAAGATTCATAGTTATTGCTCTTATTGAAATCATTGGACTGGCATAGTGAGTTCTATCCCTTCTCGGAAAGCAATGTCTTTTCCCAGATGGGATCATCACAGAAAGGTAAAGGTCATTACTCAAGGTCACATAGCTACTGGGTCAGAACTGACATCAGGATCCAGGTGATTTCCTGAATCTCATTCTAGTGTTTGGTCTACCAGACATGGTATTAGCCTTTGAGCGTCAAACAGGCTTCTGATGCAAAAGAAATTAAAGACCATTGTTATAAAGTGCTTATGACTATTAAGAAATACACTCCTAAATGTGCAGTCCTTAGGAAAGTGATAAAGAATCATGCTGCCCAGACAAATTGATACAGAAAAAGACCTGCATTTTCTGGATACTTATTCGTTGATGAGAGAAATGTGAGGGGCATGATACGGCAGATACCAGCAGATAATGCTCAGTTTCCCTAGAGAATGGGACCCTGCCTCCAGAGTCTGCGGAATTAGAAGGCTGAGGAGGTGGAACACTGGAATTGGCTCATGCTCTTAAAGTTGAAGAATTAATTTAAAACATAAATAGTTGGGAAATATCAATGATCTATCATAGATGATAAGTGAGAGTATTTGTGTGAATTTGAGCCAAGTGGCCGAAAGAGAAGTTCATGGAGACAATGAATGCACGTTCTTATCTCCATTCCTGTCTCCTTGCCAGTGGTGGTCATTAGTACATAGAGTCCGGCTGAAAGGAGAACTGTAGGCAGAGCAGGCAGGTAGGTCTGGTTCAGGCTTCCAGCTGTACTTCTAGGAAGACTGGGATCTAAATAGGCAGCTCCAGCCTCTCCCTTGATGGGCTCACCAGGCAAGGGAGTAATGAAAGTTCCCATCAGTGTGGAGTTTGTGGCAGTGGCTTTCTGGACAAGTAACCCCAGAGCAGCTTTCAGTCTACATTAGAAGGATTCTCTTGGTCTTAGCCCAAAAGTCCTGCAAGGCTGGACAAACATGTGCAGTTGTTTGTTTGTTTGTTTTTTAATTAGACACTGACCTTGAAACGACTGATCAAATCATAGCGAGTAAGTAACTCATAGAAAATGAATTTCAGTGCATGGTCCCCACTGGCTTCATTGAGGGAAAAGACATCAAAGGACCACTTGTCCACATCCTACAGGTCAGGGCAGAAAGAAAAGAATTCATTAGTTGGTAGCCACTTATATTTATCTTCCTACTTTGGGGTTAGCCTGTAGCCCTAACTTGGTAATTCACTGTCTGACTCTAATACTGTTTCCCCTCTCAAACTTTTTCCAATATGGCAATCCTGCATAGCATTTGCTGATAAAATATGAAATAGCCTTATTAGTAAAAACAAGAGCTATAATTTACTGGGTACATACCTAGGCATTATGATCAATGATAAATATATAATTCATCCTGAAAACAAGTCTTGTGGTAGGTATTATCAGTCATATCTCACAAATGAGAAAACTGAGAAGTTAGCTAATTTCCCTAAGATTCATAAAAGGCAAGTGTTAGGAACACATGTGGGGCAAAACCACAAATACATACACACGTTCAACTGAAGTTTAAACTCAAGCTCTTTCCATTAACCTTCCACTACTTCTGCTGAATTCCAAAATTTTAATTGACTTCACAATAACTGAGGGTGTTCCCTACCCCAAACCAGGCCTGTAATACCATCTACTGACTTCCTCTTAGTCCATTATGGAGAATGTTAACCCACTTAAAAGTGTTCAGAAACATGCATGATACAGAACACAAAACAATGTGTCACCTCAAGAATCTAATCTGCTAAGCTGAAACCAAGGAGAAAGCCTTCATTCCACAGGATGGAAAAATGTTATCACTTCTGGAGTCACTGATCTGAGGACCGAGTCCTCAAATCTGTAAGTCATTTTACTGGAAAATATAAAACTAAGAGCTAAGCTGAACACACTCCTCACACACTACTCTTAAAGTTCAGAGTTTTATTTGTCCATAAAATAGTGACTTCAAAATATATGTAAACACTGTCAAATACGTCTTTGACTTATAAATAGCTACTTGTGGGTGTTATAAACAAAGGCATGTTTAAGAAATAATTAAAGCAATAGTCATTTGGTTTCTCAGCATATCAAGAGTTTCATTTCAGTGGTTAAGGAAAGTGTATTGCCATGAGCATGACAATAAGGACGCATGTGAGATCACACTGAACCTAAGCTGGGTATCAGATGGTCTCCTGGAAGAGACCTTGGCTTAGGAACTGCTGGACCCAGTGACTCCCACAACAGCCTTCACTGCATTCCAGCATCACCTATCCATCCCAATCCTGCTCCTCTCCAAAGATCCCAATCATGAAGATCACCCTGAGATCACGAAGGGTCTCTCTCATGGATACCAGGGCACAGGGAAAACAAACTGTATATAGGGAAAACCAAACATTTCCAAAAAGGTTTCAAATAGGTTGTTTCAATTCATATTTAGTAGTAAACCTCAACTTAGCCTTCAATAATTTCTCCTCCATTATAATAAATAAAGAAATAGCCACAAGTGCTAAACATTTTCTGTGCCAGGCACAGTAGGAACTATTGATACACATTTGCAAACCCTTATAACCCTAAAAATGGGTATCACTTTCTCCAGTTTCATAGGTGGCCACCCCATCTCTCATAGAGAGATGAAATGAAGTGTCTAATGCCAATACCAGGCAATAACTCCACTGATGCCCCAGTGATAGCATCACTAACAGATGACATTGTAAACTCAATGAATATGTGCTGTGACCCAAGCCTTAGGCCCTAAATACCCCAAGAGTGCCTAGGCCACAGACAGTGGAGCCATTTAAGATTAATCCAAGAACCCAAGGTTCACCTTGAAAGTGAAAGCTGCTCAGCTGTGTCTGGCTCTTTGACCCCATGGACTATACAGTCCATGGACTTCTCCAGGCCAGAATACTGGAGTGGGTAGCCTTTCCCTTCTCCAGGGGATCTTCCCAACCAGGAATCAACCCCAGGTCTCCTGCAATGCAGGCAGATTCTTTACCAGTTGAGCCACAGGGGAAGTCCAAGAACACTGAAGTGGTTAATCTATCCCTTCTCCAGCAAATCTTCACAACCCAGCGATGGAACCGGGGTCTCCTGCAATGCAGGCAGATTCTTTACCAACTGAACTACCAAAGAAGCCCTAAGGTTCACCTTGGCTACCAAAATTGGCACTGTCATGACAGCCATTGTCGAGCTATTAGTCCTAAAGAAAAGTCCACTGACAACTCAGTAGGTAGGAAAACATGTGGTCACATCTGACAATTTTTAATGCTCTTCACGTAAATGAATAAAAGAAGAAAAAAGCTATCACTGGAAATGAAGAGATAATCATAGTAAAAAGTCAAGATTTATTCTGAATATTAGGTCTCAGAGAAACAGAAGGATGTGTAAATACAGACCGTGAGATGGATAGTCTCTTTAGCCCCTCATTTTTTGGACATTTTAGCTGCGATTCTCAAATTTCAGTGCTCTTTATTTAGAACCACCTGGGGTGCTCAGAAAAAAATGTTGATTCTTTGGTGGAGGATTCTGAAGAATCCTGGCTTGTGGCCTGGAATCTGCATTTTAACAAGCACCTAATTTAACTGCCTTAAACCAATCTTCTCTTCTTAGCAAATTTGGCCCAAGCACCAGTCCTGTGAATTTCCTATTAGTCTAGTGTGAAGGAAGCCTGAACCTCCTCATTTCCTCCCCCTTTAAACCTGGAGTCTGTCCAGGGTGTCTCTTCCTGAGTCACACAGCATATGCCCTCCTAAAGAACAGCACAATTCTCCATTCCTGATAACCCCACCTTAGAAGATTAGAGATAAAACAACCCAAATTAGAAGCTAGTATTCACTGCATGGAAACAAATAAAAAGAACAAAAGTGCAACATATTTCAAATTTAGAGATTGGTGGTGACTAATTATTCTCTTCCTTAAATGTTATTTTATGCTATGTTCTTACATTAATCACAAAGGTTAACATGACAGTAGCAGGATGATTATTTTATTCATTGTATTCTCCCAGGCTTTTGGGAAATTTTCTGTAGTAGAAGAAAACAATAGTGATTCCATATAAATTGCTGGCAGCGGAGTGAAAATAACCTTTTTCTAATAAGGTTTCTATGTTAAAAAAAAAGAATCTATGTCATCTCTCCAGTTCAACTCCAATCCACTGAAAATAAAACCAGAGTCTAGGGACACAGAAAAACATTACATTGTAAAGAGGTCTTGAACTTCCACAGTAAACAGAGCATACAACGAAGAGAAACAATAGCTTCAGCCTTCTGCACTGCATTAGCAATGGTGTGGAGAAGGGCAGCAATTCAGAGTTAGCATTTATTCGGAATCATCAACGTAACTCTCCCCTCCGAAAGACAACATGTGTGCTTCTGAGAATTACTTTTCCCTCCAGCTGTTCAGGCTGGTTTTAGAAAAGGCAGAGGAACCAGAGATCAAATTGCCAACATCCGCTGGAGCATCGAAAAAGCAAGAGAGTTCCAGAAAAACATCTATTTCTGCTTTATTGACTATGCCAAAGCCTTTGACTGTGTGGATCACAGTAAACTGTGGAAAATTCTGAAAGAGATGGGAATTCCAGACCACCTGACCTGCCTGTTGAGAAACCTGTATGCAGGTCAGGAAGCAACAGTTAGAACTGGATATGGAACAACAGACTGGTTCCAAATAGGAAAAGGAGTATGCCAAGGCTGTATATTGTCACCCTGCCTATTTAACCTCTATGCAGAGTACATCATGAGAAACGCTGGGCTGGATGAAGCACAAGCTGGAATCAAGATTGCTGAGAGAAATATCAATAACCTCAGATATGCAGATGACACCACCCTTATGGCAGAAAGTGAAGAAGAGCTAAAGAGCCTCTTGATGAAAGTGAAAGAGGACAGTGAAAAAGTTGACTTAAAGCTCAACATTCAGAAAACGATGATCATGACATCTGGTCTCATCACTTCATGGGAAATAGATGGGGAAACAGTGAAAACAGTGTCAGACTTTATTTTTCTGGGCTCCAAAATCACTGCAGATGGTGATTGCAGCCATGAAATTAAAAGACGCTTACTCCTTGGAAGGAAAGTTATGACCAACCTAGATAGCATATTAAAAAGCAGAGACATTACTTTGCCAACAAAGGTCCATCTAGTCAAGGCTATGGTTTTTCCAGTGGTCATGTATGGATGTGAGAGTTGGACTGTGAAGAAAGCTGAGCACTGAAGAATTGATGCTTTTGAAGTGTGGTATTGGAGAAGACTCTTGAGAGTCCCTTGGACTTAAAGGAGTTCCAACCTGTCCATCCTAAAGGAGATCAGTCCTGGGTGTTCATTGGAAGGACTGATGCTAAAGCTGAAACTCCAATACTTTGGCCACCTGATGCGAAGAGCTGACTCATTGGAAAAGACCCTGATGCTGGGAAAGATTGAGGGCGGGAGGAGAAGGGGATGACAGAGGATGAGATGGCTGGATGGCATCACCGACTCGATGGACATGAGTTTGAGTAAACTCCGGGAGTTGGTGATGGACAGGCAGGCCTGGCGTGCTACGATTTATGTGGTCGCAAAGAGTCGGACACGACTGAGCGACTGAGCTGAACTGAAGCATAAAATAACAATTCATGCACATCACAGGTTGTTTCATATTTCTTCAGTCATTCTGTATAGAAAAGAAGCTCCATTTTGTAAGAAATATTTTCATAAATTTTTTAGTACTGGTAAAACCACCTGTATATATTTTCACAATAAAGGAAGAAATTAAGGATAAAGATGCTTTTAAAATTCCTAAGACTTTCACTGAAGGTTTCAGATTCAATTATGAAAATCAATGCAACTTCACAGTGGGTGTTATGAAACATCAGATCTTATAAAGTGGTTTCACAGATTAAATAAATGTTGCTGTGAATTACACAATGATTTATCGAGCATTAGAGTTGAGGTTGTAGAGGAAGGAGAGAAAACATGTATCTTCTTGCTGTATCTTTCCTGAGCACCCTTCCTGTCCTAGATGACTTGACAAGAAAGAAAATGGCGAACTGAGAATCTGAATACAGAAGCTCCCAAAGTCAGCTAGTGAATGTCCCTGAGACAAGAGAAAGGGACTATGAAATATAAAATCAAACTAGCCCTAAAGGGCACTTTCTTGACATTAAATTGATCTGATTCTGTGAATAGGGAATTTAAATTATCTTCTGAAAATTCCATCAGGGATACACTTTTCAGGTTTCAGAGAAAGACTAAAGTAGCTTTGTAGTTGTTCAGTCATTAAGTCATGTCTGACTCTCTGCAGTCCCATGGACTATAGTCCGTCAGGCTTCTCTGTTCATGAAATTCCCCAGGCAAGAATACTGGAGTGAGTTGCCATTTCCTTTTCTAGGGGATCTTCCTGGACCAGGGATCAAACCCATGTCTCTTGCATTGGCAGGCGCATTCTTTACCACTGAGTCACCAGGGAAGCCCATTTAACAAGAGTCAAAATGCTGGAACCGCTTTGACTAAGCTGACATGACTCAATGTGTAGGCACCAGGCAATGTCAACCAGTTCTGTGATCCTGGGCCTTAGCACAGCCCCTAAATTTAAAAGACAGCGAGTCTGAATCTACACACACATACAAAAATACATCTACACAAGGGCTTCCCTTGTGGCTCAGTTGGTAAAAAATCTGCCTGCAATGTGGGAGACAAGGGTTAGATATCTGGGTTGGGAAGATCCTCTGGAGAAGGGAAAGGCTACCTGCTCCAGTATTCTGGCCTGGAGAATTCCATGGACTATATAGTCCATGGTGTCGCAAAGAGTCGGACACAACTGAGTGACATACACTTTCACTTTCAAGGGCTCTTAGAGATATTCTATACAATTCCAAGAGCTTGTCTGATTGGGAGTCATTCTGTAGGGTTTAAACTCTTTAAACTCAAGCATCTGTATGACTTTCCATGGAACTTTCCGGTTTTGTGAGAGTTTTGGGAAAACAGTAGGATACATGAAGAGGATGAGGGCTGTGGAGAATAGGCGCATTCTTTACCACTGAGTCACCAGGGAAGCCCATTTAACAAGAGTCAAAATGCTGGAACCGCTTTGACTAAGCTGACATGACTCAATGTGTAGGCACCAGGCAATGTCAACCAGTTCTGTGATCCTGGGCCTTAGCACAGCCCCTAAATTTAAAAGACCAGCGAGTCTGAATCTACACACACATACAAAAATACATCTACACAAGGGCTTCCCTTGTGGCTCAGTTGGTAAAAAATCTGCCTGCAATGCGGGAGACAAGGGTTAGATACCTGGGTTGGGAAGATCCTCTGGAGAAGGGAAAGGCTACCTGCTCCAGTATTCTGGCCTGGAGAATTCCATGAACCATATAGTCCATGGTGTCACAAAGAGTCGGACACAACTGAGTGACATACACTTTCACTTTCAAGGGCTCTTAGAGATATTCTATACAATTCCAAGAGCTTGTCTGATTGGGAGTCATTCTGTAGGGTTTAAACTCTTTAAACTCAAGCATCTGTATGACTTTCCATGGAACTTTCGGGTTTTGTGAGAGTTTTGGGAAAACAGTAGGATACATGAAGAGGATGAGGGCTGTGGAGAACATACTTTCATGCATAAAATGTTACCGAGAGCTTACTATCTGCCTATAACTCTGGTATCAAGCCTTAGTTCTGTCTGTCTTTTTTTTTTTTTCATCTCACTGAGTCTTAGTCTCTTCATCTACAAAATGTATATAGAGTAGGTAAGAAGATAATGGTAGAATTATGGTCACCAAAGTTCCTCTTAATGTTGTACATTTATAACCAGAACAAATTTGATCTCCTATGGCCAAAGTCAGACTGAGTCTCATAATGCTAGATCACTGTACTGATTACCAAACTACTCCAAGAGAGCAGAAAGAAATGAAACTATACAGAATTCCATATTTTTTTTAAAAAAATGGCAGTACAAAGGCTTAAAAATTAGCAGTATTGTTACTGAACAGATAAGAAAAAGATAATGAAAGAAAAAAGTCAGGAACGACTGGGAAAACTATAAATGAACTGTAAATGAAAACTTATTTTCTAACAACAAATTTAACTTTTTGTAGGGCAGCATATACATTGTAAGATCTTTTTATTGGTATTACCTTTAATGCTTCAATAACAGCTGGTGGATAGCTCAGTCCAACCATGTTTGATGTCCGTCTATACATTCTGGCAAAGTCAGAAGGAAAAAAAATGCAATATTATATCTTACAAAGACAAATTAGCAGGCCACAGAGTTATACCAGTATTGACAATTAATACGAAGTCATATCATCTGATAAACCCAAGGAATCTAAAATTTATTTTACAACCTTTCTCATAGTCATTCAAGGGGCTTAAATGTTCAATCAAATGAAACTAAAGCAATCCCAAACATGTAAACCATTGGAAACAAACAAACAAAAAATAAGTCTATGTGACCCAAATGAAGTTATTAAAATGAGTCTCCTCTTCTTCTGGAAGTGAATTATAGTGTAGCACAGACAGTATGTAATGTATTACTTTATCCTGAAAAAAGAACTCCTATGGGGGACCCATTTAGAAGAGATTTTTCTTTAGAACTAAAAAATTAAAGAGAACTCAAAAAGTTCTCAAAAGAACTCAAAAACTAAAGAGAACAATGTCCCAGGTAAACTTTGAGCCAACCACAGCATTTCTAAAACATGTAATTGCGTAGTAAGGATTGTAGGAAGAATAAATCAATTTCTGGAATCCATTTCTGGGGATGGGGCGATTTAATTTCAAAGAGCAAAGTGACTTACAAAATTGGAAAGTGTCATGGGGAACTCAAACCTCTTGACTGAACTTCTCCCTGGATCAATACCCTCACAAAGCATCTTTGACCTGTTTCAAATGTAGACATCATCCACGTATGTCAAATAATGATGATAAGATATGTCTTTTTTTAAAAATCAGAGGCTGAACTCAAACTAAATCTTAACGTGAACAAAAAGAACTCCAAGCAAAGGCAAAAAGCTTGTGCTAGTAATGCCTCAGAGATATGTTTTTCCATCCCTTCTTATTCAAGACTGCTTCCACCCAGAATTTTTAGTATTTATAAAGATACCAAACCTACATCAAAGCAAAGTCTTCAGTGATGAGACACCAGTGTCCCTTCCGCTGTTTTGGTTACTGAATGACAGACATCTTTACCTCTCCACAAATATGCCAGCCTGCACTGCGTGGACGATGCTCTTGAATCGCGGCTTCTCCTCACTTCTTCTGAGCATCATCCCCATCTGCCGTGTGAAGGTGGAAGCCAGCCAGTCTCGGACCTCAGAAGGCACTGCATCTGACTGAATGTCACTGAGCTCATCCTCCGTATCCAGGAGTCGCCTGGGCCCAAGAAACAGCACCGCAACACGGATTAAATCTGAAGTTAGAGCTCCCTGTTCAAAGCAGCTGTTCCTTCTCGCCAATCCACTGAATACACTGAATACACAGGCGCAAAAAACCCAGAATAAATAGGCCACAAAAAATCCAGTACTTTTTTGGGCAAGGCTTGTGAAAGCCCACCATTTGTGTTTCAGGGTGGTTTTCTCTACCAGACTGCATAAAGGAACCAAGGAGTCCGAGAAGGTCAAATAATCTTCATCTCAGGCTCTGTGGGCCTGATCCACTGCACTCAGGTGCAACCAGTATCTTTATTGTTTGATGATATGTGGAATTTGAATGGAATCTAAACCTCTCATTTAAAATGCATTCACAGGATTTATTTCATAGGTGGCCAAGTGACATTATTTTGTTTGAAAATAACGGCACTTAAAAACTATAGACAACACTGTGGCTGATTTATGTTGATGTATGGCAAAAACCTTCACAATATTGTAAAGTAATTATCCTCCAATTAAAACAAATAAATTAAATTTTAAAAAGTGATAAACAACAATACTTTATTACAAACTTCAAAGCTGTGAAGACCTTAGATCTTAATTGTTCCCACCACAAAAAAAATAATAAATTATGTGATGTGATACAGATGTTAGTTAACCCTATGGTGGTAATCTTATGGTAGTAAATAAATAGAACAACACATTGTACACCTTAACTTTTACAATGTTACATGCCAATTACATCTCAATAAAACTAAATTTTAAAAAAGAAAAAAAAAAAGACTTTGCAAAGTATTACTCAAATCACATCAACTCAGTCTTCTGAAGTAATAAACCCAAATGGAAAATACTGATACCCTCTCTAGCTTCAAAGGACATTACAAAAACTTAAATGTCTAAATTTAAGCAAAATTTCCTAAATAATTCAGCTCTTTATTTGAGAACAGTGATTTGTCATGTGTACTTAGCAGACTTTTCAGACCTAATCGTGGATTAGGCTAGAATAGAACATAAATAGCAATAAATTACAATACTGTAAAACTTTGAAAGTTGTACTTTATACTTATATTAAAGGCTACTAAAAATAAGCAGTAAAAGCAGGTGTCAATGAGTTTTTTTTTTTTTAAGATCTTCCAATTGGAAGGTAAGGGAGAAATATACAACATTTGGTAAAAAAAAAAAAAAAAGAAAAAAGAAAAAACTATGGTATCAAATTTCCTTAAATTAGGGAACAAGCATAGCACCGAAACCTAAGCCACATGATTCTTAAATTACTGGGAAGTCTTATCAGATTGAAATTAGGCATAGAAAACTTAGACATCAAAAATGCTAACAGAGGAGCTTCTCTGAACTAGATAAAATAAGAATAAGCCTTTCATATTTACCAATTCAATGTTTTTCAAAGAAAAGCAATTGTTTTTTTTACTTTCAATCGCACTTAGTAACTGGAAATGCTTTGGTACTTACCGATAACTCAAGTGAAAAGAGTCTTCTAAGAAAATCAATAGCATATCAAAGGACTGAGGGAGGAATACTGGGTGTTTAAGAGAACAAATGCTTCTTCAACCCTTCAAAACCTTCCATTTACAGATGGACATCATGAATTAAAACTTAAATGCAATTTTTAGGCTGAGATGAATAATATGTAATAATTCCAGAAGAACCCTACATTTGATTAGAAATCTAGTAATCCTTTTATAAATGAGGATGTACAGAAGATATGTGATATCCAAATCTACCCCAATTGTGAAAACTAAAGCTCAAATCAAACCAGTCATTTGAATGTTACCACCTACATGCCATGAGGGACATTTCAAAAAGTCATATAATAGAAAATTTATCATCAACTTCTTGCCATTTTAGCTCACCTGGTTTCATCAATGTACACAGATTCAAGCACGGAGGCTGCATATTCCAAATTCTTCTTGAGATCTACGACTGAAGCCTCCCCTCTCTCTAATTGTTTGACCAAAGATCGTAACCTGGAGGTGGGGGAAGAGACATGATTCAATTAGAATAGAAGAAACAAAAAATAACCCTACAATTACAGTGAACAGTTTATAGCCATTAAATGTTTGTATTTATCCCAATACATACGAAAGGAAAATACAAATCTAATGATGAAACCATTATTTCTCAAAGAAGCAAGTTATAAAATAAATTCACACATTTTTTTCCCCACTATGAATCAGGAACAAAAATGTTCTCATCTACCAGGACTGACCTTGTCCCATACTTTCTAACTATCTTTCATCTTTCTAACAATTTCCTAAATTATCAATAATTTTGCTTCTTTTCTGATTTTAATTCTTTTTGGTCCAATTGGATGGAGTAAAGCATGACCAGCAACATCACAAACACTGCTTCAGTTGAAGGTACTTTGTTCAGCTGTGACCACATAGAATATCAGTCTCATGGCCCACAGGTGTTCCAAGACAGGCTATGAGACTTAAAGCACCAAAATCACCACAGAGGGCTGCAGAAAGAATACAAGAAGCAAGCTCTTTTACTGGACAGGAAGAATTACTCTGGTGGTGCTTGTGGTAGTGATTTAGTTGCTGAGTCATGTCTGACTCTTGCAATCCCATGGATAGAGGAATCTGGCAGGCTATAGTTCATGTGATTCTCCAGGCAAGAATACTGGAGTGGGCTGCCATTTCCGTCTCCAAGAATTACTCTAGGAGCAGATAAATACCTAGTTTTGTTTTTTAAAGGAGGATGGATGATAAAACGAGGTACTGAGGACAAGACCTTTCCCACTGCTCTTCAAGAATTCCCTGGAGTAGGAAATGACAACCCATTCCACTATTTTTGCCTAGAGAATTCCATGGACAGAGGAGCCTGGTGGGCTATAGTCAAGGGATCCCAAAGAGTCAGACACAACTGAGCATGCACACATGCATAATTCAAGAGTTCCAGACAGTGTAAGAGAAACAATAAAACTCTCCTCTTACTTATATGAACATTATCCCCACAGAGAAGGACTTCCTACATATGAGAACATAAAATGCCAACAGATTATCAAAGACCAGAAACTGGGGACACTGTAAATGCCACAGAGATTTGGAGATTGCGCAACTCTTCAGACTGTTTGACAGCCAGCAAACAATGACACTTTGAGGAATGTATTTGGGTTTCCCAGATGGCACTAGTACTAAAGAATCAGCCTGCCAATGTAGGAGACCCAAGAGATGCAGGTTTGATCCCTGGGTTGTGAAGATCCCCTGGAGTAGGAAATGTCAGCCTATGGTTTTTCCAGTAGTTATGTACAGATGTGAGAGCTGGACCATAAAGAAGGCTGAGCGCCGAAGAATTGATGCTTTTGAACTGTGGTACTGGAGAAGACTCTTGAGAGTCCCTTGGACTGCAAAGAGATCAGACCAGATGATCCTAAAGGCAATCAACCCTGTATATTCATTGGAAGGACTGATGCTAAAGCTGAAGCTCCAATACTTTGGTCACCTGATGTGAAGAGCTGGCTCATTATAAAAGACCTTGATGCTAGGAAAAATTGAAGGAAGGAGAAGGGAACAACAGAGGATGAGATGGTTGGATGGTATCACCGACTCAATGGACATGAGTTTGAGCAAACTCCGGGAGATAGTGGAGGACAAGGAAGTCTGGCATGCCGTAATTCATGAGGTCAAAAAGAGTCAGACACAACTTGGCAACTAAAGAACAACAATGCTTGCTAATTATAATCATCATGTTGTATATAGATCCCTAGAACTTATTTATCTTATAACTGGAAGTCTGTGCTCTTTGACTAACACCCCCCATTTATTTATTTTAAAAGGCATTTGATATCATTATTGCCATTGTTGTTATTCAGTGGCCTTGGTCATCACAGGTAACCACATGAGAGTCATCCTATCCGGATATTTAAGATTATTATCGAGTCTCCATTTCCTAAGGCCATTTCCAGTTTTTTGACTTCAAAATATTCTCAGGCTTGCATTCATAAGGGAGGACAGGTCAGCTTCTCCACAAGGCATAAACTACTCCCCTCCAGACCTACATGAAAATGATAAAAAATAACGAAGGACAAAAAGCTCGGGATCAACCTTAAAAAGTAGACAAGGGGGTCAGCCATACAAAAGAAATTTCCAGGAATTTCAATGATGTAAAATACAAAAGAAATTAGATGGAGGGTAGTGGCGAGCTGACTTGTGAATCTCCATCACACAAAAGGGAAATATGCAAAGGAAATAAGCAGAGGCCTCTGCACACTTAAAGAGTCAGCCTGTGGATCCCATTAGCAGCATTAGGAAGTGTTCTGGTTTCCCAGGCAGCCCGAGACAGGGAGCTGGCATGGAAGGGTGTACCAGTCACTCACACACAGTGGACAGCCAGCCTGCCAAAGAATGGGGAGACTGCAGACGCAAGCCCTGAGAACTGTTCCAAATAAGGAATGGAAGCTCTTCAGCAAACTATGTTCCTGGCTAAGTCTGCCTCTAATTCTGACTCTCACCTTCGGAAGCCAAACTACCCACTAGGCTGTTTGGACTCTCCACTGGCAAAGTAAAATGAGGGTAAATGTAAACTTTCTAAAAACTTTCTCCCTTAACTTAAGGCTTAAAGATTCTATCAGGGTTTGACATGACTCTCAAATAGGACCCATCGCAGTTCTCAAAACCTAAGAGAAGACAAAACACAAAAAATTATGAGGGAACATATAAAACTAATAGAAGTAAGAACCATATGATTCTCTCTTCCTACAAAAGGACATCCCTAAGAAACAAACAGAAGCAGCTTTAATCAAATAAGTTTTCCTAGATTGAGGAAAAACCTTTCTAAGCAGATCAAAAGGGATCAAATAAAACCAGAAAAAAAACCCCAACATATTCTGTTGTAATTTTTTATCTCTGAAAATTAAAAAAAAAAAAAGAAAGCTTAAGAAAATATATTACTTACAAAGTAACAAAAACTCAAGCTAGCCATTGACTTCTACCATGACAAATATCAGAAACCAAGTTAATAACAATACCAGTTTTTGAGAATAATACAGTGTGATTCAAGATATCTATATCTCCCTATGGGTTTCCCTGGTGGCTCAGTGGTAAAGAATTGCCTGCCAAATCAGGAGACACAGGAGACATAGGTTCGATCCCTGGTCTGGGGAGATTCCCTGGAGAAAGAAAGAAAGAAAGAAAGAACCCTACTCCAGTATTCTTGCCTAGAGAACTCCATGGACAGAAGAGCCTAGCAGGCTACAGTCCATGAGGTCACAAAGAGTTGTCACGACTTAGCAACTAAACAACAACAACAAATATTCACCTATATTTAGTATAATTGTCATGTATATTTAAAGCCAACAAATATATTCTCAGGTATGGACAAGCTCAAAATTTCATCATTCATATGCTTTTACAGAAAACAAAAACGAAATACTTTAAGGCAAACTCTGGGGCAGTGACCTTTCAAGGAGGATAGATTTGTGGGTCTCCAATTAAATGGATTCTGGATTTATGACTTAAATCTAACAAAGCCAATCTTAACAAAATGGACAAGTAGTTTAAAAACATTAAAAAGGAGTGGCAGGTGAAATATAATGCACATTACCCTTCCTTTCTAGGCAAATACCTATTCCTAGTATAAATGTTTCCTATGTCACTTTTATGAACTAAAAATTAATTATAATCAGTCAAAAATGATTGAAATTACTAAGAACACTATATGGAATATCACTTTATATCCATTCTTATTAATAATTCCCAATCCGGGGAAAGTACAGTGTTGGGAGAATTAAGTCATGAAAGTACAGTATTGTGTGTGGATCAAGTCATGAAGAGCTGCACATCAATCTGCAATATGTAATCCAGGACCCCAGGCCAGACCAGGGGTGGTGCTCCCACTCAGCAGTTCAGGTCAGCAGCACCACAAATCATCTCCCCAGAAAGCCCCAAGCATCATGTCACAACGAGCAGAAAATCAGCAGTGTAGGGCTTCAACCAGATACAGTCACCGGTGGAGCTGGCCAGACACTGAACACAGCCACACTTATGTATCCAGTGTAAGCCAACCAGTGTGACCCACTGGATTACAACCCATTAATCCAGCCTGACTCAACAGAGCTGTAAACAGAAGCAAACCCCTAGCCCAGTGGCTTCTAAAAACCCAGAGAAGAAATGACACAAAATAAAGTATCTTTAAAGGGTTGGGAGGGAGGTTGGCAGGAGCTTCAAGAGGGAGGGGACATGCATAAACCTATGGCTGATTCATGCTGATGTATGGCAGAAACCAATACTACCTTGTAAAGCAATTATCTTTCACTTAAAAAAATAAAGTATCTTCAAGATGCCTAAGACTTACTAGAAATTCATTATCAACTCCCATCTCTCTAGATGATGAGATGAATGAAAGATCCACCAACACCCTGGGAGACATGAAGGCAACCCATGACAACCACCCATGGTGTTTATGGAAAACACCCAAAGACTCTATTCACCTCTTTTTATTCAAGGACAACTAACCAGGAAAAAAGAATTCCAAAAAGATTCAGCAATTAAAAAAAAGTAGAGAATCATCTTCAAATTGCAGAGAAAGGACTCACTTTTGAAAAGAAGATTCACTACTGAAAATACAAGTAAGTTTTAGAGAGCATCTGCTTTGTGTTCAATAAAATTCAAGAAAACAGATCTGAGAAACAAAGGTGAAAGCTGAAATCATAGGTAATAAAAGTGGACATACTGAGAGAAGAAGAAGTTAAAAAGAAACGAAATATGACAACAAAAAGACTATAAGAACTTAAAAAAAATAGTGACCAACTTTATATATCCAGCTCCTATTCGGACTGGCGCCTGTCACAGGTGTAAGTTACAGCTTTCCCTGTCCACATAGCTGCTGGCGTCCTGCTCTATGCAGCTGCCACACAAATGGAAAGCCGTGGCAGCTCAGCCAGTAAAGAATCTGCCGGCAGTGCGGGAGACCCGGCTTTGATCCCTGAGCTGGGAAGATCCCCTGGAGAAGGAAACAGCAAACA